CGTCAAGTAATTCCAACTTGTAGAGTGGCCTATTTGGGATCATATCATAACTTCAAAAATGAAGCTCTCCCTTCCTTCCTTTAAGCTCCTCATTTAAGCCCAGATCGCACCCAGTTCACGGCCGTGAACACTTAAACGCGTCCGTGAACTCAATGTCACAGGCCAAAACGCACCGCTTCACTTTCGGGGTTCACGGTTTGTGCTTACATTTCACGGTCTTAGAGAGCGTGAACCGCCTGGTCGTCATAAACCTTTGGAACCTCGCTGGATGCCTCGCTGTTCACGGTTTGAGGTTCCAGTTCACGATCTCGAGAGACTGTGAACTCCAATGCTGGATCGTGAAATGCGGCTACTTCATGGACGCCTGCACTTCACTGTTACGGGGCAATTGTGACATTGGAAATTTCTTCGATTTTGACCTCCAATCGTCCCGAACTCGTCCTCGACCCTTCCACACGTGCTAAGACCTTAAATGTATCAAAACAAGCACAATCTAGCGTGAAATATGTCGAGGAACGATGAAATGCAAAGTCAAACTATCAAGAAATGTGGGGCAAAATGTGTACAATTGGACCCGAATCAAATGTTCTTGTTTAGCGTGGATTTTGGGTCGCCAAACTGTTTAGGGCATTTCATTTAAATTTCTTGTGGAAAAGATTTGGATTTATTTATTTATTGATATTTTGGACACTATTTCGGTTTGTTTAAAAGTATCAAGTCGTTTCACAACCTCCTTTGAGGAGTCGTCACCATCGATCAGCTTGGGGGCTTCTGCTTCTTGATGGGTTGTTGATTGATTATCGATGCAGGGTACGCCTACTACCCTTGGCTATACTGATCCTCTGGCTCTTCACAGGCCCTGCTAGATCCGAAACCCTCGCCCTCCCTCCATCACTGTCGTTAGCGCTATTTCGATTCGAGGAGGATGAGTTCGAGGAGTTCTAGGATTTGTCTTTGGAATCGTCCCGATGGAGACACCAATTGCAGGCCTGGTACGATTCCACTTTTGGGTACAGATTGTTGCAATACCTGTTCGATGAAATGACACCCACTCCATCTCCCTCTCCAGGGAAAAGCCGGAGAAGAAGGAGAAAGTAATGGAGGTTGGTGGAATTTTTGTTTACCCCAATTCTATTGATTTTTTGTTTTTTAATAATTAATTAATTAATAAGTTAGAAAGGTTGACTGGCTTATATGGCATTTTCGTTGATTGCCACATCAGCGTAGCATCTGCCAACTCACTATCATCTAACGGAAGTGTTAACTGAGACTTAACGATTGGCTATTATATTGTATTTCGAAAGTTGTGGCTATTATTTCCCGCCGCTTAATAGTTCTAGCTAATATACTGTATTTGCCTTACTTTATATTTCAAAAGATTTGACTAATAATTTCAAAAGTCGAAAGATTTTACTAATAAATTGTATATACGCTAACTTACTATTATCTCTTTAGTTTTATAACTATTATTTTATATTTTTCTATAAGAACAACTGTTGTATGTAGTATGTAGAGAAGTGGTAATTTTGCGCCAATTTTTTTTTTCCTGGAGCCACAAAAAAAAAAAGGGGGAAAAGAGGAAATTGCCGAAAGAAGTTTTGAATGAAATCTACTTAGTATTATTTTTTTCACTTTACCTAGATAATTTGGTCTTAACTATTATTTTATATTCTTCAACCTTGCTCCTAACACAGGATAAATGAACCAATGAAAGAGTTGTAGTACAGTGGCAACAAAGTCTAATTGTCGAACTGCGGGTCTCTAGTTTTATGGGGTCGGTTAGCATGCTAACCCAACTTAGGGGTTGGAAAAATGACACCCCTAGTATATTAAATACAACTATAGAATTTAATACACACATTAAATACACATTAGGAATTAAATGTACCATATTAATTATGAATTCTCTCACTATTAAATACACATTAGGAATTAAATACACACATTAAATACACATTAGGAATTCTCTCACTATATTTGATTTTTCCTTTTTCAGCAGTCTCCGACCACCAGACTTCCTACGACCGCCACACTTCTCCGGTGAAAATCCCATCGGCAGACTCCCTCCGACCACCTCCAAAAAATAAACTACTGCACTGATATGGTGTACCACTATATTGGTAGATATACCACTGCACTGATACGTTGTACCACTGTACTGGTAGATATACCACTGCACTGGTAGCGATATCACTGCACTGGTAGCAATGTCATATCTGAGTATCAGTGCAGTGGTACAAATACCAGTAAAGTGGTAATTAATGTGGTGTATTTAATGCTTACTTTGTATTTAATAACATAACATTTATTATGTTTACTTTCATTAATACTTGTCAATAATTAATGAAAAATTGACCAATTAAAAGGGGGTGTCAAAAAACCAACCCCTTAAGGGGTTAGCATACTAACCCGTCCCCCCTAGTCACTAGACTGCTTAGACCATCTTTAGTGATTAGATCCAAAAGTCCAAAATTTGAGGCTATAATTCAAATTCTAGCCCCTGAAAAGGTATTTTGGCATAAGTAGTGTGTTCCAAAAGTCCAAATTTCCATATTTGCGCTTTAACTCATAATCCAGATTTGTATATATTTCATCATTCTAATTACAAAATTTGTTCATTAATTTTATATAGGTACCAATAATTAATTAAGACGAACATTTCAACAAATTTTTTTTGAATTCCGACCAAAAAAAATTATTTGTAAATATGATTTAATTAATGACGGTCTCTTGTTTGGACCGAAAGAGCCGTTGGAGAAGATTGTGAGTACCAAAAGGTAAAGTTGTTTGTTTTTTTATTATTATTAAAGCTCTTTTTGGCAGGTGGGCCCGTCTGCTTTTCCCCCATGTGGCCACACTATCTTTTGGAACTTTTATCATTTTCCGAGCCAAATTTGGACCCAATTTTTGGATCAATTGGAACTTTTGGCCTTTTGGAACCTTACTAAAGTGGGTCTGGTCCAATTTTTTGGAATTCCACCCACCACTAAAGTTGGTCTTAGAGGGACTCTATCTTCATTTGAACCAATCTACCAAGCAATTCGAACTAGACTCCCTCTATTAAGGGGTGGACATTAGGTTCGGTTTCACCAATCCAAACTGAATTGAAAAAATGCTAAACCGAACCGAAACCAAAATAGCTCTTTAAAGGGTCGGAAATCGGGTGTAACTTTGTTGGTAGTCGCAATTCGGTTAGCAATGAAGCAAAACCAAAACAAAATTTTGAATTGCAGACCAAAATTTTGGAATTTAACACAACCCAATTTTTTAGCCCACCTACACATGAAAGCCCACCCAACTTGTTCCTCTCTCCTTAACGATTTTCATCACCCCCGTTCTCTCACTAACCTAATCTTTAGTGTATCAAAATTTTCATTTAAGCTCTAATTAATAATAATAATATAATTTGTCGAAGGGTAAAGTGGTAACTGCATGATTATTCATTTTTTAACTATTAAAAAAAATTCCACTCTGTGTTTATGCTGCCAGATCCCTTCACATCTTCCATGATAGAAAGGTTGTTGATTCAGGGCTAATTGCACACATTTTATCCCCGTTTCACTTGGGCATTTGTAGCATTTGGACTCCCAAAAAGGTGGTTTGACGCTAGGTTTTGTGCGTTTTAGTGTGTTTCAGGATCCAACAGGTGAAACCAGCCTCAGAGTCGAAAGTTGGACGAAAAGAGACAAAGACCGAGCAAAGAGGGTGATCCAGGGGCAGTTCACGGTTTATCATGGGAGTTCACGGTCCACTATGGCTGTGAACTGAAGACCAAAACCGTGAACCGCAATGCATCTAGAGAGAATTCTGCAGTTACTACCGCGGGATGAGTTCACGGTCAATAAGACGGTGAAGATTGAGGCCAAATCGTGAACTCCTGATGGCAAAGCGGTGCGTTTCGACATCGCACTCTGTGTTCATGGACGTGTTGAAGAGTTCACGGCCGTGAACTGAGCCCGATCCTGGTATATAATTTGAACTGAAAGAAAGAGAGAGGGGGAGCCCAAGTGTGGGAAAGTGTCGTCTTCTTCAGATTTTAGAGAGAGAAAGGACGAACCAAGGAAGAAGGAAGGCTAGGGTGATTTGGGAAGAATCTCCCCAAGAGAAGATCAACACAGGCTTAGAGGAGATCGGAGGCATCTCCATGATGGTTTCTACCTCTTCCTCTTGTGTTCTTCAACTTTCTAGCATGGAGTAGTACTCTTTTTACTTAGGTGTTGTGAAACCCTAATTATTTGCCATGTAGTTGTTGTGTGAGTTGAATGATTGTTTATGGGCTTTGTTCAATTCAATGATTGAGGTATTTTTCATGTTGATTGTGCATGTTGGTGCTTAGCAATCCAATTGGCCATTCTCACCTAGATTAGAGGGAAAACCCCTTTTCAAGGGAGGCTCAATTGAGTTGGGATTCCTTGGACTTTTTAAGCCACCTATCTAGGTTAACATAGGGAAAACCTCTATGTTGAATTAAGCAATTTGGTTAAGCGCAATTAAGGCGACCAACCAATTGGTTGAGTGAGAGAGTAAGTCAACCATCGATTGCCTCAACCAAGAAGGCTACTTGAGTAGCCTATAATGTATCCCTTGGTTTGGCAAACGAGAGTGTGGTCTACGACCATAGTTTCGTTTCCTAGCGGTTCGCGGTCGCCTTGCCCGTAAAGTTAATTCAATTCCTCGTGCCATGGTTGTAGTTAGGGGGAAGCGACACCCGAGTGATCCTTCTCACATAGAGCTTTCAAAATCATTTACTTTTGCCTTGCATAACTTTGATTAGCAATCTTTTCAACCAAATCCGATTTGCTAGATAATGTTCAAACAATTAATGAAGGAGTACACGGACCGGCCCGATTCGATATTTAAACATATTTTCCCTGTATTGCACCCTAATAAGGTTTATACTTGGACCGTAGGCGGGAATTAATTGTGATATTGGGAACGAGTAAAGTTTTTGGCGCCATTGCCGGGGACAATGGTCCGTTATCTTGAAAAAGTTGTTTGTTGTTAATCTAGCTTTTAATTTCCAGTTTTGAAAGTGTTTGTGCTTTGCTTGTGTTAGACTTGGTATTGTTTTCTAAGTGTGTGTAGGGAGGTGCATGACCCGGAGCAATCCGATACCTTTGCTACCAAGTGACGAGGACATAAACCGAACTCTCCGACTCCTAGCACGGGAGAGGGAGCTAGCGGAGGCAAGGAGTAGAAGTGAAGAGAGGGGACAACAATTTGGTCCCGGTGTTAGAGGAGTAGAAGTTGAAGAAGTGGAAGGTGAACCCGACATTGGAGTAGAAATGGCGGGGAACCAAAGAGAAGTAGGAGCCGCCCAAGATCGTAACCTCAATGATGCGGCGACAGAAGAGGAAATCCCGCGGAAAATGGGATATTATATGGCCCACGGCCGGCGGACATTCAATCGCCGATCTTGCACCCTCCCGTGGCGGCCAACAATTTCGAGATCAAGCCGGATCTATTGACCATGATACAGAACAAAGCTTTGTTCCACGGTTATTCGACCGAGTCACCAAGAGAGCATGTGCAAAGATTCCTGGAGCTCGCGGGGAGCTTGAAAATCAATGGCATGCCGGATGAAGCTTTGCAACTGAGGCTTTTCCCCTATTCACTTGCGCGGAATGCACTGCGGTGGCTAAACAACCTCCTGCGTCGTTCAATCACCTCATGGGATGATCTTCTCAACAAATTCATGACCCGCTACTGCCTGCCTTCGAAGACGGCCGAGTAGAGAAAGAAGATCATCCATTTCGAGCAAGAGGAAGAGGAGACCTTGAGGGATGCATGGGAGAGATTCTCCGATTACTTTCTTCAATGCCCTCACCATGGGTTCGAGGAGCAGTTTCGGATTGAAACTTTCTATGGTGGACTAATCCAAGAAGACAAAATTCTTATTGACTCTCTGTGTCAAGGGAAATTGATGAATATGACTCCACCGCAAGTGACCGAATTGCTCGAAGACATGGCCCTCAAGGGGTACGATTGGGGTTTGACGAGGAGCGGGAAAAGAAGTAATGATAGAGGAGTGAGGAGTGTGGGGGCAAGCGCTCCACTTGAAGTGAAGCTTGACAAGTTGATCGAGGTAATTCTTGAAAATAAGAAGCAACGAAAGAGGCCGGTGATGTCTTGTAATTGGTGTTTGAGCACTAGCCATGAGATGGCGGAGTGCCAAGGATTTAAAGAGGCAACCACTAAAGAGGAACAAGTCAACTTCATGGCAAATTCTAGGGCTAATAACCCGTATAGCAATACCTATAATCTCGGATGGAGGAACCACCCCAATTTTTCTTGGTCATCACCGACTAATCCTAGACCCTCGGGTTTTCAAGGCCCCACGGACAATTATCAACCTCGGCCAACCTTCATCCAACAAAGGACTCAAGTCCAAAGATCAAGCTTCCAACAACCATACCAAGCACAAGGTGGCCAAGGGTTTCAACAACTACAACAACACGACAAGCTATCCAAGCTTGAAGACCTAGTGAACACCTTTATGAGCAATAGTGCTCAAAAGTTTGAGAAGATTGAGCAATTTATGGATGTGGCGACTACCAAGTTTACCTCGGTTGAGGTGAGACTCCGAAGCCATCAAGCGAGCCTCCAAAGTTTGGAGGTGAAAATAGGCAATCTTGAAGGGATCCTCACCGAGAGACCACAGGGAGCCCTACCTTCCCAAATCGTGGCGAACCCCAAGAATCATGTCGGGGTGAATGCAATTCAAGTAGGAAGTGGAAAGGTGACTCCGGGAGTTGCCACTAAAGAAGTGAGTGAGAAGGAAGATTCCAACCCGAAGGATGGAGAGAAGAAAGTGGCAAGGAAGGCATCGCCGACACCACCTCCGGTGGTTGTGTACAAGCTACCCCTTCCTTTCCCCACGAGGATGTACAAGGAGAGGTTGGAAAACGAGTGTGGAGGTTTTAGGGAAATGCTCCGAAACCTCCACCTCAATATCCCTTCCCTTAAAGCCATGACTCAAATGCCGAGATATGCAAAGTAGCTCAAAGGATTCCTCACCAAGAAACCTAAGTTTGAATGCCTCGCCAACGTGACTCTTGGCGAGGAGTGTTTGGCTTTCCTCCTCAACCGCTTGCCCAAAAATTGGTCTGACCCAGGTAGCTTTACTATCCCTCTTGGTATTGGTAACCATCATATAGAAAATGCCTTGGTGGATCTAGGAGCTAGTGTTAATGTGATGCCCAGAAGCTTTTCAAAATGTTAGAAGTAGGTGAACTTAAGACCACTAAGCTTAGCATCACTTTAACCGACCGTTCAGTCATTAGCCCGAGAGGCATTGTGGAGGATATGTCTGTGCGAGTAGGAAAGTTTTGCTATCAAACTGATTTCGTGATTCTCGACATAAGTGAGGACTCGGATATGCCACTCATACTCAGTCGTCCTTTCCTTGCCACCACCAAGGCATTAATTGTTGTAAATGAGGGGACTTTGATTCTAAGAGATGGTGAGGATGGAATTACCCTAGGAATTTATCCTGAGCCTAGGAGTAAGGAAGTGGGTGAAGTGGAACCAAATGGTATGGCTATGAGTGGAGGCGAGCCTCTCAAGGCAAACCCCACTAGTGTGTTTGTTCCCTGTGATGTGAACCAAGACAAGGGTCGGGTACTAGTACCGGTAAAAGAAAAAGGGTGCATGGCGTGTTAAGTTGGAGAATGTAATCTAGGAGAGTAAAGAAAAGCGCAAAATGAAGTTGGCCGATCAAGGAGGTCACCCATTGGTGAAGGACAAGGGGATGTCAAAGATGCCTGGCCAAGAAGACCGTCCGATGGAACTTAAGCTGGGAGGCTACATACCTCACCCCGCGATCGTGGCGGATCCACTCTTGGTGGCATCATGTTACAAGACATGATAGATCTGCAACGTCCAGCTAGTGACGTTAACTTAGCGCTTGTTGGGAGACAGCCTAATGAAGGTTAGCAAGTTTTTCCTACTACTAATATCGTATTATGTTGTGTAATAACCGTATTGAGTTTTTATTTGTGTGTTTTTTCTTTTCCTTGAAGCTCCAAATCTCCTACCCCGGAAAAAATTCCAACTTTCACTCACCAAGCAAAGCGGTAACGTCGTTCTACCCCTATCTTACGCCATTGAGGGCAATGTCGAGCTTAAGTGTTGGGGGTAGTCTACTTTTATTCTTGTGTGAGTGTGATTGATTCTTGGAGCCTTGATTTATGCTTAAATTTCAGAATTTTGAGGGCTCCAAGAAATGTTTGCATGATCAAAGTGGCCGGTTTGTAGGAGAATCTTGTGGTTATAGGCATTCACCTTGAATTGTTGCATGTGATCGAGTTTATCCTATGATGATAATTGAGAGGTGCATTAGGATAGTACAAAGGTTTAGTTCTCATGTGCGCAAAAATGAATGGAGGTTTTGACTCGATTACTTGTTGATTACAATTTCCATGCATGTTGCTTTGTGAATTGGAATAGATGGTTGGGTGACTAGGTAGCCATGTGAGCTTTGAGACGATCGTTTTCTTCTTGTGTGCTTAGATCCCTCTTACCATAGCAAGTAACATCACAGTTGTCACTAGTGAGTATGATGGAGGCATAGGATTAGTCTAAGCCCAAATGTTGATTGTCCCGAATGAATTATCCACTACCCAACCCCTTTGAGCCTTATGACTTTGGGGGTCGTTCTTATGTTAGGAGCGTTTTGCTTGTTAGCTTAATAGTGTTAATAGAACGATCCCCCATCCTTTCTTCGTGTCTATACATTTTTCGTCCTTGTGTTTCGAAGCTCTCGCTTTTGAGCTCCATTGAGTTCTACATAGGAGGATTGTGTGCAGTTCTTGCTAGTATTGAAAGTGAAAGGAAGAGTAGTGTTGGAGTGAGTTCTTAAAAAGAGAGCATTGACCATTAAAATTAGTGTGGCAAATGTTTAACTCTCTAGTACCCCCCTCAAAAAGAAACGAAAAAGAAAAAGAAACGAAAAAAGGTGATAAAACTCCACATTGTCTTAGAACTCCTTCACTACCAAATCAAAGTGTGATAGCAAGAGTGGACCAAGGAAAAGTGCTTAAGGGAAGTTCATGATGGGTGATAGTTTGGAAGGGAGAATCAAGGTTTTTGGCCAATGCTAGTGGCCGTTATTTGTGAGGAAGGCTCTTAATCGAAACCACAGAACCTTTGGTTTTAGGGTGAAGATGTAGGACCTCATGATGTGTTTGCCACCACCCAAAAAGCCTTTTCCCCATGTCCAAGACAATCGCCAGTCATTTGAACTCGTGTCTAAGACCCACGGACAAGCTAATGATGACAACCATTCCTTGAACTCTAGCATTTAGAGGTTTCCGCCATGGTGTTGAGATGATAGGGTCGAGAGTTGATGATTGTGCACATTTTTTGCACCAAAAGGTGCCGACCCCACTGGTCAAGAGAGTGTATTGTTCATTCTTGTTTTGCATGTCATACCATACCCCGGTGAGGACCTTTGTTGCCGATCCGTTTGTTCTTTGGACTTTAACTCTATGCATGGTTAGTTGTGGTTGGTAAGTAATCTTGCTGAAACTTGCATTGATTCATAAACAAGGTAAGAACTTTTCATTTTCCCGTTTCTAGTACCCTCGATTGTTGTTTAAGGTGGATGTTGGTATTGCTTGCAACGGTTCTTTTGTTAATTGCCAACAACCATTTGAGATTCGCCACTTTGTGCCCTTTGAATCGTCTCCAAAGCATTTTGATAGGTTGAGTTTTTACCTTGTGTGAAATGGTTTGCTTGGTGACAAGCAAAATTGCACACATTTTATCCCAGTTTCCCTTGGACGTTTGTAACATTTGGACTCCCCAAAGGGTGGTTTTACGCTAGGTTTTGTGTGTTTTAGTGTGTTTCAGGATCCAAGAGGTGAAACCAGCCCCGGAGTCGAAAGTTGGACGAAAAGATGCAAAGACCGGGCAAAGAGGGTGATCCAAGGGCAGTTCACGGTTTATCATGGGAGTTCATGATCCACTATGGCCGTGAACTGAAGCCCAAAACCGTGAACCGCAATGCGTCCAAAGAGAATTCTGCCGTTACTACCGCGGGACGAGTTCACGGTCAACAAGACCATGAAGGTTGAGGCCAAACCGTGAACTCTTGATGGCGAAGCGGTGCGTTTCGACATCGCGCTCTGTGTTCACGGAAGCGTTGAAGAGTTCATGGCTGTGAACTGAGCCCGATCCCTGTATATAATGGGAGCTGATAGAAAGAGAGACGCGGAGCCCAAGTGTGAGAAAATAACTTCTTCTTCAGATTTTAGAGAGAGAAAGGATGAACCAAAGAAGAAGGAAGGCTAGGGTTTGCTCCAAGTGGTGAATTGGGAAGAATCTCCCCAAGAGAAGATCAACACAAGCTTAGAGGATATTGGAGGCATCTCCATGATGGTTTCTACCTCTTCCTCTTGTGTTCTTCTCCTTTCTAGCATGGAGTAGTACTCATTTCACTCGGGTGTTGTGAAACCCTAACTATTTGCCACGTAGTTGTTGTGTGAATTGAATGATTATTTATGGGTGTTGTTTAATTAAATGATTGAGGTATTTTTCATGTTAATTGTGCATGTTTGTGCTTAACAATCCAATTGGTCAT